CATCGACGTCGATGCAATAAAGAGGGTGGGGGGAAAAAAAAGGTTTTTTGGCGGTGAGTTCAGCGAACAGTGATGCCTGAAACAACAACCAGGGAGATTCATTAGCACAGGCTGAACAAAGAATGTCGAGTGACTCAAACGAGAAACATCCGTATGAAGTTTCTCGCAGTTTGTTGTGGCCGCGATTTCGCGTCTGCTGGATTATTCCGTTTCTTTCTATTGTTGGCCCGTTATCAGGAAGTTTTGCCAAAGAGCGACCCGTGATATCGCCCGTGTCGCATGGAAACAATGATCAGAGATGAGTCAGACCAACTTCCGTCTACGCCGCCCCGAGTATTTCAAGTTCAAGTTGCAATTAGCGTCCAAGTTCAAAAACAAGCTAATCTCACGAAGGTCGCTGTTTTTTAAGACGAGATATTGTTCTCTTTTCGTGCAACTTTCAGACAAATTTGTTAACAACATACATGAATTTTTTTTTTTTTTTAAATAACGTATGATAGTGACTTGAGACAATATTGGAGAAATTTACAAGTGAATTTGAATTTACGAAATATATCAGGCAATATTGAATATTTGAATTAAATTAAATTAAATTATATTATATGTAGATTTCTATGTTTAACCAAACTTAATGAAAATGTAATTTTAACTCTTCTTTTTTTTCCTTTTTTTTCTCAAATTCTTCCTCGTATTTTTCTTTTCTCTTTTGATAGTAAAACATTTGGACGTTACTTAAATTAAATCTAGGTACAATACGAGCCAAATTTAAGCTCTTGAATCATTCATCCTTCGATCGATGACAAAGAGAGTTCAAGCCAGATAATCGAATCTCCATCCAAGTTATTTAACTCCAACAAAATTTCAACTCGAAATTAATCCAATCGGTATTTGACTTGATCCCTGTGGTTTTAAATGAGCTCGGTTCTATTGTAAGACAGCTCGCGTCTAATTTTGAAATACCAACGTTAATAGACAAGTCCAATTTCCGTTTTATATGAAAACCGTCTATATAATGATTCGCGAGCTCGTCGATTAGTAAAATTTATAAACGACCGATTGCTGGATAA